TAGAAACATCTGTGTTTCCTCAATTTACATTATTCAAATGTCACAGTTTATGTGGTATTCAAAAGCTGGATCTGAATATAACCATTTTTACTGAAAGATTTAGACGACCTACAGACAAACATGCAACACAGAGTTTCTAAATATACACATTGATGAAGAATATGGGCTAGCTTAACGATCGCTTAAAAAACCCCAAGAAAATTATATATTTCTTTAAAGGTTGATGATCGTAATTTTACTCATTAGTGTGCTTTGTCGCTTTGTTATCACTTCCCCGGTCTATCTTTGTTGACAAGATATAATTGTATATTAAAAGATGAAAGCTACACACGTACATGTGATGACATCAACCTTTTATTTAAAGAAGCTTACCAACCTGAAAATAAAAACAACTTTGTTATTCGCTTATGTGCATGTAGATGTAACATGTTTTTTTTAACTAAGTCTCAGACTACTTCTAAAATAAATGAAGATATATGACATGTTACTGTTAAAACTGTGAAATTAATTAAAATGTTTTATCTCGTCTGGAAACTATTCTTAGCTTGAAACCAGCATTATTGTTAATTATTTGCATATTGACAATAATATGAGAAAACTGCCCAATCAATATCATAATAAACTGGATCAATATGGTATAATCTGGGCCAATATCGACGAACTGGGCGATTACTACCTTCAGCAATTGCTGAGACATGCTAGCGGCTTAATGCATGACATTACTAGATACGAAGTGTTTAGTGAATTAAGCCAAACATTGCTTAGTGATAAATTTGTAGTACATACTCAATGGTGAATTCTGTACTACAATTTTGTCTGCTCTTTTCCTTGTTCAGTGGTTCAAATATTTCCGGAGGTGCCAAAAATACCATGGTAATGCCTCCCCAGAAAAGTGAAGTACAGTCAGTCCAAGTTAAGTTCACAGGAAATCAACTGAACATTTTTTTGTGATAATTATTATTTAATTTGTTGAATATGATTTGTTTATTTTTGTTAATTTAAGATTATTAATAAAATGGTCATTAATGAGCTAACTCCACATTGGCCATGTGATTAGGCCTCGGTCTGTCACATAGGCCCAAGGCATCTGATGGTGGACTACTCAAATCGCCCTGCATCTGTGGTCCGTCCGTCCGTCCGTCCGTCGTTCCTTAAACACTTCTTGTTATCGCTATTTTTAAGAAAGTACCTGAGAGATCATTCTCAAATTTTATATCCTTGGACCTAGTTGTGCAGAGAGCCATCCTGTATTTAAACAATGAAGGTTTGTTATGGCTATTTCTTAGACAACGCTGGAGATATCTTTCTCAAATTTTATATGTAGGTTCTCCTTGTGCATGTTTAACTTTGAGGTTGATCGGATAAAAAAAATGGCCGATAGACCACCAACTTGGATTGTGACATTAAAGATGTGTTATCGCTATTTCTCAGGAAGTACTGGAGGGATCTTTCCCAGATGTGTTATGTAGACTCCCATAGGTCTGTAGTTGTGCATGTGTATTTTTTATAATGATTACATAAACAAAATGGTGGACAGGCTGCCATCTTGGATTTGACAGTTAATGTTTGCTATCGTTATTTTTCAATAAGCACCGGAGAGATCTTTCTCAAATTTTATATGTATGTTCTCCTTGGTCTGTAGTTGTACATGTTTAATTCTGAGAATGATCAGATATCCAAAATGGCCGACAAGCAAACCTCTTTGATTTTTACAGTGGAAGTTTGTTATCGCTACAGTTGTGTGACCGCACAACGCACCATACATAGCGTGCGCACACCGTGCATACATCGTTTACACACCGTCCGCACATCGTCCACACATGGTGCGAACAACTGTGCGATTTAACAAACGTTTCCCCCGTTTTGCGCTTCTATCCGTACAACTGTGCGATTACGTACATTTTGTTGATCAATATTACGAAATGAAATAAATACGGAAGGCTCGTATGCAATAATGTATAATATGTATATTACTGTGATTTCTCATCACAATAATTAAGATTATGTTCAATTTTACAATGCGTGTTACGCAGTATTAGAGTGACTGTCAAGAACGGGTTTGGCTCCTAGGTAACAGAACAGGTAAATAACATTTTGATGAGTGACCGGAGTTTAATCTGACCTGTGCCTGACACATATAGCGTATCACCATTATGAAAACACAACTGGCCAAGTCGTATTTGTTATTTGCATTCGGTTTGGCTTTTAGCTTCCCTTCACCTGGATTTTCGCACCCCAATGAGTAATGGAAGTACCCCGGGCGGGAAAAGTACCGTTCAGGTCCATGTACCAAGTAGCTATATGGTATGTTTACCTGATTACGGGAACTGTATTCTAATTTTACATGTCGATTAAGGTCGTTCAAAAAATCACAGAAAACCCCATTTCTAAATTCAGGAAAGTATAGACAGAAAATGTAAAAATAGGCTTTTAGATGCAGCTAGTATATAGAAACATACTTAATGATCAAGTTTATATGTTTAAACACGAAACCGTATATATTGTTAAGGCATTCCTCAATTTACACCAACCACGATTATTATTGCACAACGTTCGACCATCGTGTGCACAAATGTGCGCAAGCAATGATCGTTCAATTTTTCATCATTCGCACATCGTGCACACATCGTTGACACACCGTACACACATCGTGCGCCCTCTGCACATCTCGTAACGTTGTGCGATCCTACAACTGTATTTCTTAGGAAGCACTGGAGGGATATATCTCAAATTTTATATGTTGGTTCCCCTTGGACTTCAGTTGTGCATATTAACTTTTGAGACCGGTCAAATAAACAAATTGGCCGACAGGCAGCCATCATGGATTTTGACAGTATAGGTTTATTATGGCTATTTCTCAAGAAGTACTGGAGAGATCTTTCTAACGTTATATGTAGGTCACCTTGGTATGAAGTTGTTTTCTTATGAGACTGATCGGATAAACAAATCTTTGATTTTGACAGTTAAGGTTTGTTAGAGCTATTTCCAAGGAAGTACTGGAGGGTTCTTTCTCAACTTTTATATGCAGGTTCCCCGCTATCCTTTATAGTTTACTTTTAAAACTGATCTGATAAACAAAATGGCCATCTTCGATTTTTGACATTGAATGTTTGTTAGTACTATTTCTTGTTAGTATATTTTGAGACTGATCATCAAAACAAAATGGCCGAAGGACGAACAGATTTTTCTCATATTGCAATGATCGGTTCTATTTCTTTCACATTACTTACATTACTGTACTTGTAAATATGTGAAATGACAAACTCACTTTAAAGGTTGTCATTTGTAAACAGCAGTATTAAGTTTAGATCAAAAGTTGTCTCAAGGTGCATTTACTGTTAACATGACTCGATCAAACAGATAAGAGAAAAGAAGAGAAATATCAAACTGACAAAGAACTAATGAAGATGGAACAATGGTGGGCACCAAGATCCCTCTGGGATCTCTTGTTTTGAATATATTAATCTTCTGTATTGTTGTATACTTGCTCGTGTCATTCTTAAATAATACTTGATGTTTTAAATTTCTAAATAAATCTGAACAATGATGTTTTATACACGAGCTAAAGATACCTATATCGTGCTTATAGACTAACAATAGCAAGGTTTATAAACGCTATGCTTCATTTGAAAATAAACAGTCTAGAATGTCGTTGTGAAGAAATATTACTCTAAGATTTAACATTGAATGTTGCAAATATACTTGACATTGATTAAGGTACACTTAATGCAAGTATTTATTAGATACCTATTACACTTTTTTAATCAAAAGTGTCGGATTTTCTAATTAATAAACATGAGAACAAAAGGCCACTTATTGCCTCTAAGCTCTCTGCGCTGTTTTTAAAGGTTACTTTAGATATTTCTTCCCGTATGTTCGGTCTGATAGTGTTTTTTTCGTATCACGCATGACTTTAAACTCGACAAGTAATTAGTTTAATCATTCACCTATCCGAATAACGTTTGAGGAATCAGAGAACTCTAGTGTAGATCATTACAGTACAATTACTAGACAAAGGCATTCCAAGTTCCGTACTTTAGCGCAAAAGACTAATTTGCATAACACGTTTACGCTGTAGGCTGTGCATTTATGTGAAGATGCACCTTGTCCGCTTACCAATACAAATACATATATTATTATTTTTAAATAAATATTGGATAAATATCTTACTTCATGAAGTATCCATAAAAATTTGCTGTCGGCTAGGGTTCAACTATGGTTTTACTATTTAATTATTTTTGTAATCGCAGAAATAGCACTGGTACAGCACAGCATAAGTTTTAACGAGGGATAACCCTTAACTTCAGTCTGAAGATTGTCTGGGTTAAACCTTGTTTTATTACCTGGTAAATAAGGTAATAGCGTTTTAAAGTTGAAAGAACATCAGCTGTTGTAACACTGATTGTTGCAATAAAAGATTATTATTATATCTCTTGAAACAAAAGCTTCCTAATATATCACCTGACAATTTGGCGTTCGTGGTTAACGTTCGCCCAGATGAGGAAGGCATGGGTTCTGTTGCTCTGTCATCAGATCAGGACATTCCCAATTCCTTTCATACCCTGCTGGATGTTCAGCATTAGTTATAGTATCAACTTGTTGTCAGTGTTAATAATGTCACGGAATGAAAAAGTCATTGTTTGTAGCATGATGTAGCATTCTTAACATACCACCACCAACACACATACACACATAGTGGCATATCCTCAAATGACTCAAAATAAATTGTCGGGGTTTTTTTTGCATTTGAACTGTGTAACAATCGTCTGGCACATTAAAGTGTGTGCCGTTATGATGATGACAGATAGTTCCATTATGATATATAATTGTGATTTAACTTTTTACAGACCTAGAAACCTGATGCATGTACCAACATTGAGGTAAACCGTTGATATGCAATTTGATTATTTACATCATTGTGATACTTATTTAAATATAATCTTTTTGTGACATATACATCAAATAAATGCAATAATATAACAATGTTAGTATTTACTTACTTTGCAAACCAACCTCATTCGTAACAGCTGAAAAGGCGTATAGCAGATGTTATCAAATTGCCGCAACGCCTTTTACTATGGAAGGACACCAAGTATCAAATTACGTGTTCCTCTGTCAGTTACCAGTCCTAGGACTGATATCTGAGTATTTCATTACAGATGAACTATAAACTTCCGCATTGGTGTTTGCTTGAGCATGTGTCATCCAATGATTGGTGTTGATTTCGGACAATTAGCGAGTCGAAGTAATGACGTGTTGTAGGCACGCGATAGATATATATCTTTCTTTACATCTGAACGACACAAAAGGTGATATTTAGCACAATTTATTTCAATCAAAGAATATCCTGACCAAAGAATGCTTCAAACCTATCACGACGCTATATCTTATATTGCATTAAATGAACACGAGCCGTTTTAACACTGATTGTTGCGATAAAACTTGTCAGAAGTTTACATACACGCATCGAAGTTATTCCATACGTTATAAAATGGTATTTTATCGGACATCTTATTCTTATCGGGTCTCCATATGTTACAAGCACACCATACGCATATAGAAGTGTTTATAAGATATAATATTTTGGTGAATTGCCTAATTGACTATCCGTTCCGCTGTATAATCCGTCTGCCTTAGGTGGAGGAGTAATCCGTGTTACGGGTCTCCATATGTTACAAGCACACCATACACATATAGAAGTGATTATAAGATATAATATTTTGGTGAATTGCCTAATTGACTATCCGTTCCGCTGTATAATCCGTCTGCCTTAGGTGGAGGAGTAATCCGTGTTACACCATCTGACCTTAGATTGGAATAAGTACACGGTACTATTTCAACATAAAATACAATTGCCAAAGTATACTTAACGCAGTCCTTCAGTACTTATAGGTGTCTCACAGTTTACAGAAAAAAAACTCCATCTGATTATTATAACACTGAATTTAGCCTTTATATGTAATTATCTTAACACGGATGATTTTGCTATGGGATACAGTGCAGGCTTTAAACTTTCTCAAAATATTCAATTTTGCCTTGATGTTGAACGACGATGTGTTGTCTTTAAACAGCAGGAAATATTGATCACATACGTATATACCATGCTGAAGTTGAAATCCAGGACCCTTCACACTCGTTATATCGACTGCTTCAATCAAGACTTACGATATGATCAAAAGGGACGGTTACTATCTTGCTGATTAATAAGCATTATGAATTTGATTTTCAGATCGTAAACACAATTTCGTTAACCTTTTATTAAGTATAAGTACGCTTCCTTTCATTTTCAGCTCATTTACCTGCATCAATTTTCCTTCGAGAGATGACTATCGGAAAAAAAAGAAACGTTTTCCTTTTTAAATATAATTGCAATAGTATCGTTGGATAAACAGGCAACAATTAATTTATCACATAACTAACCCTTTTTATTATGTCATACGGCCATGTCATAAGTATGGTATTACCCACGTGTAATAAGACCTAAAGGTGCTGTGATTGGGCAAAACCGTGGGAACATATTCCTGCGCCACTACAATAACTGCTTTCAATTACTACACCGTAGAAAAAATGGCTGACCAGATAAACATTGGCGACACGGTTACAATTGATAACAAAGGAACAGGTACTGTAAAGGATATTGTTCCAAGAGATTTTACAACATTTTATAGTGAAGAAGTTGCTGAAATTAATTTTAAATTTGAACTTGAACGAGACTGTATTAAGAAGGTCACTGTTACACAGGCCCGTTCAGAACAGCAACCGGAGCAGACGACCATCCTGGATGCTGGGCCTGGGGCTGACAATCCCAAAACAAACAGATTTGTTACCATAAATGAAGATGAAGTGGGAAATTTTATCTTCAATCAATCTAACAAAACACTCTAAGCAAAACATTCTACGATGTGAAATTTTTGTATCATTTTTTTAAGTTGCCTGAAGTCAATGAAAGTAGACAAATCCACGATATCCCAGTAACTGAACTGTGTCCTTTGCTGTGTTTGATTTTTTATTGGTATCAGGAAAACGGATGGTTCTGAATATGAGCCAACCAGTTTACGGGGGATGATGTCAAGTTTTGATCGTCAATTACGTCGCAACAACTACGGTCACATAATTGTAAGCAGCCCTATGTTTGCACGGGGTTATGAAAAGTAAACAGCGTCAGTTGAAACGCGACGGAAAAGGCAATCTAGCACACAGAAGTGATCCAATAAATGACATGGAAATAGACATGCTGTAGAATTCTGGTCACCTAGGTTCAAACACACCTGACAGCTTACTTTGTGGTTTTATAATACCGTTCATTTTGGTATTCGGGGCTCGGTAGAACATAGGGACAAGTGTTGGGGTGACATAATCTGGGAAAAGATGGGGATGGACACGAATGTCTGGAGTTTACTGAACGCCAAACAAAAATAAGAACTGGAGAAAATCCTCGCGATATTAGAGCTGTTAAACCGAAACTGTGGGCAAATTTGGAAAACCCTGACAGATGCCCTGTGAAAATCTATAAACTTTACCGTGAAAAAAACCCCGACTGGCTAGGGTGCCCCTTCTGATCCTTTTTAGCAGCAACCAAACAAATACCATCACCTAATACTTCAATTTGGTTCAAGAAACAGCCAGTAGGAGTCAATAAAATGTACACTATGATACAAAGAATGATCAAGTTGTCTGGAATCGAAACTGAAAAACCTCTGTCAAATCACAGTGCTCGAAAATGTTCCCCCACCCAAATTATGCAAGTTTCAGGACACAAGAACATTTCATCAATAAATAACTATAGCCATATCAACACAGATCAACATAAGCAGATTTCACGAATCCTGAGCTCCGGAAAAAGTCAACATGTCAACGCCGTCAAGTAGGCCTATTTCCACGTGTTTCACAAAATCGTGAAGTTCTTCTTCTTCGATATCAGAGGTAAGTGGCGGCTTTGAATCAATCTTCAGTAGTCCGATTAGTGGAAGGAACATTCATATTAATATTTACCAAGGTGGTTAATCAGAACCACCACGAAAACGTATCCGAAAGGAATTCATTGAAAGTGACAGCGACTCTTAGTAGGCCTGTTGTGACTGCTTGAAACGACATATGAGGCGTGATGTCACAAAATTGTGAACTTTATAAAGTGCATTTTTTCTGATAAATTTGAATGTCTTAGCTATTAAATTAATGTTTGTTGCTGATATCTTGTCATTGTAACTTTCATTGTATTTAAAACTGTTCATAATCTAAATAAACAAATATGGAAATACTTTTCATTGCGCGGAACGACAATACTATGATCGGAGTACCTTGGTTTTTACATATATAGAGTAAAATGATAAAGCATAGTTGTGTTTGATGTTTTTTTTTCAAATAATGATTGTTGTGTGATAAATAGAATCTTACAATCATGTGCATGTCATATTGAATTTATTAAACTCGTTCAATAAATTCAATTTGACATAGCCACTCATGTAAGATATATACGAGTTATATCAGAAGTAGATACAAGTAGATGCAATGTTGATCAGTCAACTTAGTAATTGAAACTGACCGGAGATAACTCAAGCTCCGTTTTGCGTTCTTTGTCATGATTTCGAAAGTGAGAATGTGGTGTCTACCAGGGTAAATGTATGTTCACTGCGACTTTGATATTTGTGTAAATTATACTTTCCTCGGTTTAAAGGGTTGTGTTTCGGGGAATACTTTCCTATCCAGCGGACTTGGTTTTGTATCCGGGGTCTTCGTTTCTAGTGGCTGTTTTTTTAGTCTTTTAATATTACCTTCCGTGTTGTTTCTGTGTTTTATATTTTTTCAACGAAAGTCGAAGTATAGTATTGACAATCATGCTGTTATGTGAACTTTTTGATCTATTTGATGGCGATCATTCAACTCTATGTCCGACATACTGTCATAAATAATCTCTAGTTTGTTAGGACGATTTACAATAAATATGAAAATGTGTCTCTGATTAGAAAAACAATCTGCCAGGACATTCCTATCTTTAAATGTTGATATCGTCAACATTGTACACTTATAGTATTTGTTATGGAAAAAGAGTTTTTTTATTTGAGTTGTGAATTCTAGAACAACTGTGCGAGTACTAATAATTACTACAGATGCAAAGGAAAGAAACACGTACTAAGAAATTAGTTTGTCGACGCTTAAAGTCAAATAACTAAGTTTGTTACACTGAAACATACGACCATATCGGCCATAACATGTATATCTCAGGAAGAAATAGAATATTTTCCAAATTACGTTATTTGTCCTTCTCGTTTAGTGTATCTCAGAAAGAAGTATGACTTGTTATAACCTGCTTGTCATAAATTAATAACTGTAAACTGATACACAGTTAACACGTATGTATGAAAGGAAGGTTTCTGGTCAGACCCCTTTCCCCAAGATATATTCTAATGTTTTCAGCATTACATCATGACCAATACACAGCTGCAAGTAGAATCACTCCTCCGTGTACATAGTACGTTTCTATGACGGCCACCAAGCCCCATGGCAGCGGTTTTTTTTTGTGATATATGCTAAACCAGTATCTTAATGAATCCTGTCTTCACTTTTTGCAATGAGGTACGCATCGTTGGCTTTTGTAAACATATACATGTTGTATAGGTTACATGTGAATGTTTGGAGTATATTCATGTTAGCCCACATACAAAATTGGATGAACTCTGTATACTCCGATTAAATATGCATTTCTTAGGAAAGACCCAGAACGAATATTTTACTTGTAAAATGAGTTTCTGTAGGTAAACCCTAATATGGCAATGATGTCATTCCATAGCGATCAAACCGTAAATAAATATGACGCTCAACTCTTCATAATTTGGTCATAGAATACCATCCATGTGTGACTACTATACGTCATAGTTTGCAAGTGCTGTGCTTATTGTTGTACTAGATCTTAAGATCGGGATTATGAAGATGGATATTGAAAACATCTTGGTTATACACAAATGGAAAGACAATGTGTGTCATCTACGATCGCGGGTTTTTGAAATGTTTTGGAGACAAAACCAATATCCGAAACATATGCAAAGTAAACCTATAATGTTAAACTATTTGCGAACAATAAAAAAACAAAAACTAAAAACATGACGAGATCATGAGACAAGCAGTAACGATATTCACAATGTCCGTGGCTTTTGATTTGCCAGTTGAGCAAGTGTGTATTGTGCATTTGGAGTCAATTGATCCAAGAAACGTACCATTAATGTTTCTTTCATGACACAGCCCCGTACAATGGTTAACCCATAACGCCCAGTAAATACCCACTGGTTTGTTCTGTTTATCTCTGAAGATAATCGCGTCATCTTTGTCAATTTTAATGTGTAGTTTATTGTTTTTGTCTTCATCTGAAAATTGTAGATGGATCTGCAGTATTAAATTGTAACTGTCAATATTAAAGTGGGACACCTGTCGGTTTTCTTAGCTATCAATTAGCTACCAAAATCCAATACACACATCTAGTGATCACGGGAAACTTAAATGAGCAATTTGGGAATGATCTCCCTTGTATGTTGTGAGAAATAGCACTATATTTATAACAAAGTTTCACCAAAAAGTCTATAGGCCATTTTTGTCTCACGATCAGTCCATAACTTCATAATGAGTAATTTGAGACCATTAGAAACAGACATGTTGAGTTTTAGGAAGATCCGTCAGGGTCGTATTAAAAACTAGCGCTGACAAGAATTGTTAAGGGACAGACGGACAGACGAACGGTCGGCGGACCAAGGACCAAGGGCGATTTCAACAGAACACCTACATCAGTTGATAGCTGAAAATGAAATCAACTATGTTTGAATATGAAAGTAGTATTTTTATTTTCCCTGCACACTTATTAAAGATATACACTGCAAAAATTACTGAAAGTGAACAATAAATGTTAACTGATAATTAAGGCTAAAATGTATGAGATAAAATCATGTATATATATCAATACTGTATGATACAATCAAAACAAAATAGCGTATATCAATTTAATAAAAAAAAAAGATTGCAGTACAAAGAGCAGAATGATCCCGATACCGATTCAACTATTTAGATCATGGTCTGTAAAGATCCATAGCACATAAGTGTAAACTTAGACCATTTGTTCATGGTCGATGACCTCCATAACTCAATAAAATGTAAAATAAACACTTACGCTGTTAAAGGGTTCGCTTGATAGTGTCATACATATGTATGACAAAATTTGTAAAGTATGATATCCGACCCCTAACCTTGACCGATGACAATCAACTTTTTTCCAAAGTAAAACTCGGTATAATTATAAAATGATGCAAATACTACAAAAAAAGTGGAGGGTTTCAGAAGATACAATGAGCATACGAAAACAAACCCATTACCACTACAATATGTTTCAGCGAATGAACAAACAAGTTCATTGGTTGTCAAAGGGTATAGCAATTTATATATATAGTTGAAACGAATGCAGTGCGTAATAAAACGTGAAGATCATACCGCTATATACAGGGTATTACAAGTATATATAATTAAAACGCCGTTCAAAGGAAACATCATTATTACGTAATTTTTGCATATCATAGAGATTTGCAATTATTATCAAATTCATAATACGTACATTTTGACACTAAATGCATGAATGTAGGAATTAAGTTTTTCGTCTATCAAACAACAAATCAATATAAATTTAACAATATCTTTGAAAACGCACATACACTGTTTAAAAAGCACAAAATGTTCCAAATTATTTTATGATTTTATGACGAAAAATGATATTTGTAACTTGTAACAAGATTTTAAGTATACAAATGTCGGAAGTATATAATGTCTTATTTTACCAAACATCAAAATGTAACAAGTTATATGTTTTGTATGAAAAAAAATATGTAAGCATAGTTTCTAACACCTATAACTATACGGTATGGGTAAGTCACAAAATGCGGCACTTGATATATATATTTGTTTGAATATAAAAGACAAAATAAACGGTGAAGGAAAATCGCACATCTATTTGTAAAGATTTAAATAATCCAACCAAACAGTACAGAAAGAATGCAAACACCCCTAACACATCCTATTGAGTTATATAATTATGTTATATGTACTTCAAGGATTAGTGTTGTTTATTCACAAAAATAGGATTGCACCAATGACCTAGATTGACTTTGAATAGTTCTAACAATTCATTGATTTAAAGGATAAAGTCATTGAGTCTATTTTGATTTGCTTTTTGATTTGTTGTTCTTTTTTGTTTTTTTCTTAGCTCTTGCACCCTCGCTCTCCTTACTCACAGATGCAAATGCTCCACTCGGGGTTTCGGGTGTTACCTTCTTTCTTCTTTTCTTTCTTTTCCGTCGTTTTCGTTTTCCGGTTGCTTCTGAAGTATTTGGTTGGGATTCTGTTTTCGTCGATTCCATGTTTCTCACTACGGTTTCTCCTCCGCCAGGTATTTCACAGGCATCGACATCTATATCGCTGTTCTCTATGACAGTAATCTCGTCCCATTCCTGGTTTTGTTGTATTGGCCTGCTCTCTGTTGTGCTGCTACGGGAAACCATGGCACTCTTTGTTAATGTTTCTTTGGATCTTCCGTCGGCTTTCACAGTTACCACTTCTTCATTCTCAGGTTGCGTCTCATCTTCATCTCCGAATGGTCGTGCATGGTTTTGTTTGTTTTCTTCTGTTTCTGTTCCTGCAGGTGTCATCACATATGGCTCACACCTTCCATCAATCGTATTATCGAAGACATTTTCCAGTTCATGCGATGTAAGTTTCTTTTTCTTCTTTCGTCGTTTTCTTTTTTCACTTTTTTTATCATTTGTGTCGAGATATATATCGTGTGATGAATCAGCTTTCCCGGTCAGTTCGTTACGACTCGTGTCAGTTGTTCTCCCGGTTACAAATACAATATTTCCCTCCTCTTCATCGGTCTTCAGTTTTTCATTGTTGGATGCATTTACAATAAAAAAGTCACCTGCTCGCGTGTTATGCATCTCATCCTCAAACGCAGCCTTGTCTTTTGCAAAACATTCTTCAAACATAACATATCTTGCAGTGACAATTGAATTGTCCGCTTCATTGTTAACATGCTCTTCTGTCTTTAGTTTCTTGTCGATTTGGACGTTTTCTTCCTTCTGTTGAAAATTCCACGTGCAAGTTTGCTCTGTTAAACTTTTCTGGCCTCGTTTCTTTTTCTCCGTTTTGTCTTTTCTGAAGTTTTCAACTCCCGCAATTGGTTGATGAGAGGTACAAAAGACGTTGTCAGAATCTGATTTTGCACTTCGATCATGTTGAACTCTCATCCAGCTATTTGATTTGGATCGTTTTGTTTTGTTTACAACTTCTGTTTGGATTCCATCTTGTAGAACATCTTTACTTGGCCAGGCTATAGAAAATATTTCTTTCTCTTCATCATGGGGATCAGCAAGCGAAATGTCATTTATCATTTGATTGCTGAAAATAGAATTTGAAAGGATTATGAATGTATATTACAAAACTCACCAATAACACATATGATTATACTAAAATATGTTATTGTTTTTCTACATGTTGCGATGTACTAATAACTCAAGATAAAATGTATCAGTACATCATCGTTTTAATGGTTTGTGCGGAACCCGTTTATTATAGGACATCGTTTAATGTTCCCAATGTATACGACTTTTGTGCGATTCAAATGATATATTTAAACCCGTTGCACAAACTTCAAAGTTTTTTCTGTGTATTTTTGTTTATTATTCTCAAGAAATTTGTCCTTTGTGTCCTGCTTAAGGTCATGTTATTAATCTCAATAATAATAATGCCCTTCATTACTACGACGATTATTCTAAACGTCATTATTGTAGACACTGTGATTTATAACAAAACCTGTGCTAACTACAATGCATTACTCCTTCAATGAGCAAGCCAAAACACCTAACTACACGCCGTTAGATGCTCTAAGTCTACAATTATTGATCTCTCTTATGACCTTAAAAAATAAGGAGGAGACATAGCTAAACAAAGTTGATTGCTCTTTGCCACAAGTGAAAACCCGTATCTCTTGGCATCATGGATTGTTTTGAAAACCATACTCTAACAGAAACTGTATGTCGCAAGAAAATTAATATATATTTATAAAATGATGTAATATATACATTATATATTTATCCGATGCACCCTCCTTTATCGTTGATCTCAGAATATTTTATTACTCCAAACTGAAAAGGAACAATATGTATGAATCGGACATGTTGTTCCATTTTGATCAAAGAAGTATTTTTCATGAATTATATTTGCCACCTATCCGACACCAACACCTGCACATGGTATCAAAATCCCCTTAATTACATCATCATCATCATCTAGCCTGTAAACAGCATCCTTATTATCATCCCCGAAATCGTTTGATTCTTATTGTATTCAGACACATTTATCAAGAAGATGATTGTGTAAGTATCCTTGAAAACTGACAATGTATCACGGAATTGTCGATTTGTTCTACATGCAGTTACCTTTTTTGTTTACTTTTGCAAAAACACAACATCACGCCAATAATCAGACAAACGAAGCCGAGTACAGAAACAACAGTGACGACAGGAACAATGATGTATTCTAGTGTAGTATCTGGGTCACGCGTGTCTTGGTCGCTTACAACACAGTCTGCAAATAATAAACAAGTCAATACAATGCTATGTATATCGTATATGTTTGCGTTATATTGACTTTGCAAACTTATAACTTTCATAAGTTTTCATTTCACTTCTATGTTTGCAATTGATCGTTCGAATACTTAAAGAAAGAAGTTAGTTTTTGTATCCTCATTTTGATAATTATATATCAAAATCAACGTTTACAAAATCGAGTACAGGAGTTTTGGGAAACATCAATGTGAGTCAATTCAGTCACGTGCCTTCGCTTGATGAGTTAGACCACGTGTACACGCTCTCCTCGGGTTTACATTCTAAACATAACGCATTCTCTTTATAGGATCCTTTAGGATGACAGGCTCCATTAATGTAACAAAACCCTTCCTAAAAAAAAAAGATAACAGTGTCATTAAATAAGAAAAATGCACGAAACTTGTATATTGCAATTCACCAAAATGTGATAGTTTATGTTGTTCACATTTTTGTCATCTAGAAACAGCAACAAAATTGCTCAAATAACAAAAAATAGATTTGGAACGGTAACAATGAGCTTTATTTACATACTGACTCGGATTTTAAAATTATGTGTTATTGCTGTAGATATCACATGTATAACCCCATACAAGTGGTTTTTTTATCCCTTAACATTATCTGGAAGTTCAACCTCGATCAGGTGTAATTAACCTCATACAAGTAACCAGATATATCCCTTTCCATTATCCAGTAATTCAACCTTGGTCAGCTGTAACTAACATCATTCATGTACATGTAATCAGATATATCTCTTCACATTATCCAGTAATTCAACCTTGGTCAGCTGTAACTAAACTCGCACAAATAATAGGGCATCCTTTTTTAATATTTCGTACTTCAACCTAGATCATATGTAACCAACATCATACAAATAGAAAAACAAATATTCCTTTCCAATATCTTGTACTTCAACCTTGATAAGCTGTTACTAACCTGTATATAAAACCTAATAACTCCAGAGTTGTTGATAAAATATTGACAGGCTGCATTGATAACAACGAAATTTATGACGTCACCAAATTCAAATCCGCCCATAGCCACCGATACATTGTACTCGATTCCGAGTCTGTCTGTCGGGACGTGTATCTCTGGAAGATCACAGATAATTTCAAAGAGGCTCTGGTGTTGAGCTGATACATTTGCCGTCTCCAATGTATGGTACATCTCACCCACCAATGTCTGTGAGAGATAAACAAGCAATTATATGATTATCACGAACGTCTAAACAAATAAAAAACGAAACTTAACGAAAATAACAACTTTTCGTCATATTTCTGTTTTACCAAATCCAACAAAATGTATTCACCATGTCAGAGAAGTGATCACATTTATTCGTATACGGTACCATGACTTTCGCGCTGCAGTAGCTTCTCACGCTGGTTTAACATGTGAACATTTTACAAAACGGTCTTATTTCTGCCTGGCATTCATATTGACAATTCAGACAAAATTTTGTTCAAAAATTGTAACCGACACATTAGTTCAATGTTTAAAATATCATTTTTTTTTATCACATAATGTACACTGTTTTCCTGTGAATATACCATGTCATATATTTTTTTGAGTATTAACCCATGAAATATGACCTTTCATGTGATTAGTTGTAAGTTTCAATTGTTTCAACTGTAGTCAAAATGGCGGCTTTTTACATTTCAAGGTTACGTGAGAATTGTAGTTTTATACGACTAATTGCCAACAAATTTGATAATGTGATTAAAAAAATATTACACTCGTTTTCATTTCAGAGCCAGATGCACTCTTAACTGAAAAAAATACTTAGATTCGTTTCATAAATCTAATATGATCCTATATATATTAATTTCTGACAGGAAAGGGAAAGCGCATGACAAGAAAACCACAAGGGCCCAGCTTATCGTACAATTAAGACGTACTTACATTAGTAGTGTTATTGATAATGTCGTATTGTGGAATTGTCTTCTGATGTTCAGTTAGGTTGGTATTAATTTTGCCGAATGCGGTTCGACATTAACAATGCTATTTAAAAGACGTGAAGATAAATGAGTAGGTACTAACCTCACGACCACTGAATTGGCAAGTGTAGTTTTGATCCGTAGGGAAGTCCAGTCCCTCTACCACTACGAAGGTACACTCGTCGTCGATATCACAAAGTCCTTCATTGTCTAGTCCGTATAACACTAAAGGTGCGTTGAGGTCAAAGGAACAATCCTCCGAGGCGAATCCTTCTTCACATTCACATTTACCTGCGTGTGAATTATACACGTATTGCTTTATAGATGTTAATTTATAGTGTCACTCACTGATGGTTTCTCAGAATGTTCCCTACTGCTATATACGTCATCACTTTAAAATACACAACCTACTTAACAAAATATGCGAGCAAAAAGAATTTCTGCAATTTGTTTTTTCGAGAAAAAGAATTTACTACTTTGATAATATAATAAGAATGATAGAAATTTTTCGACACTTGTGCACATTTATGTTATCAACTGTTTCGCGGTTGCCAATTTATAAACAAACATCAATCAATCATAAATCTTGTCAAAAGTGAATGTTGATTGAGGCATCATACCATTAGAGCAGGATCCCCGTTCCGAACAATTGTTTGAACAGGTGTTGTTTCTAATAATGTTACTTATTTCTGGATATTCCTCTTGTAGAGTCGTGTTCTTTTCTAGGGTTTCAAGGCAGTGTGTTTCACTTCGATCAACGGCGTAGCGTGTCCAGTTGCCATCGCCAGTAAGCTGTTCAAGAAAATGGGTATTGCTTTTCGTCATTTAATGTTATATTTATCTTTGTTATACATGTGTTTTTATCACGAAGACTTTATATTTGATATATAATGCATATCATTCGAAAAGAAGAAGTAAATAATTTCTCTTTCTGACAAATGCAAATATAACTGAATCTCATGTGAAAAATGTAATGATGATCTGCAGGCATAAGCAGTGGTGTCAACTGGTACTTATTACAACGGTGTATACATAATCGCAGCTTTATTTTATTCTTACATAATAAACCTATTTAGGGGATAAGTTGTCACTTCATACAAGATTCATGAAACGTTTTAAAGTGTTATGTTTAGCAAGGCACAGCCTTCCTAAAAACAGACTGTTTTCATATAGATGCATCTCATATGGAAGAATTCAAACAAGTTCAATATCGATTTTGACAAATGACCAAGACTAGATTTATTATAAGCTAAAAACATGATTTATCAAATATATTAGGTCAACATTTCGATTCCATGTCAATGGTCTTCAATGCTGTCCTTTTTTAATAGATACAGTGTGCTAAAAATGAATTACATCATACAACTGTTTTAAACTTCTAGGACGCATCGGTGATGCTTAGAGACGAAATCGTTTGGGATCAATGGTATAAAATGATGTTACAATAGATGAGGTTGTGTATACGAAAATGTTGTATATCGTCAACTTTAACAGTAAATAATTTAACATCAGATCAGACAACAACTTTCATAGGGATGACTTCATTTTATATAACGACAGACCCACGATACAATGACAAATACAAGTTTTACTTATTCACATATAAAACAATACCATCAGATCCGCAGCGCAGTTGTCTATTTCAGTACTTGAGGCGTTGACACCAATATCAGAACAGGCTTCATTTGTTACGGTTGTTAGCGCATCCGTGCACAACTGGATAGCTTCACTTTCATTTATCACTACTGACTGCAAATATATTTCAGATGTCATTTAGTTAGATATACAGTTCTAGGATCGCACAACGTTACACCATGGACTGTGTGTGCACTGTGAGAGAACGATACGTGCACGGTATGCGTACGATACAAGTATGTAGATTACAGCTTGCATACATCGTCGTGCACGATGACCAAACGTTGAGCGATAACATTCGTGGTTGGTGTAAATTGAGGAAAGGTTTATAGTACGCATATTCGATCAGTATCGTGGTTGATATACCATAAGGAATGTCTTGTGAGTTTATAGATTTCAGGACAGACAACGCTTCGGTCACTCATCAAAACGTTATTTACCGGAGTCATGTCCCATTATGGACAGTTTTACGATCACTGTAAATACACATTATCATAATGGGAAGAATTTAAAACATACTGACCTCAAATGAAAATGAGATATCCTTAACGTACCTATTTCATACGAGTCTGCCAAATGCTTTTTATTACGTTTAATTGGGCAACCAGTTTTACATGTACCGAATAGCAGATTTGTTCGGTAAAAACACACGCAAAAGGGCAAACGATTGTTGATTCGGGTTTTTGCGCACCATGTTCGTACGATGTGAGCACGATGTTTCCACGAAGTGCGTTCGATATGTTTGGTGAGCTGTGCGTTTACACAGCTGTAATAGCATGAATCATCGTCCATACCAGTTTATGAGTTCGACAATCATGAACTAAATGTCACGTGGACTTTGTACCGTCCACGCGTACAGCTATACCAATACAGATTAGTAAGTACCATCGATAATTATCCTGCACAGACTTACGCGTTTCGTAATGTTGTGAAGATAAACGTCGTCCGGACTGTCTGCTTGACGTTTTTTTCTGAGGACTCTTCGGTCAGTTACAGTGCATCTCACTTCTTGCCTGGAATAAGTACAGCTGGCGTATTGTCTTGAGGAGCAAAGAGTGGACTCTATATAGCTATCTACCGGAGTCTCGTCTCCAAGTTCAATACTGTTCTGTGGACAAACGCACATCTGGTAGGCAGCAGGATATTGGTCTAGGAGATCGGTGTTTGGTTTCACGTTAAGCAGACTATCTTCTTCACTGAGCCTGTAGTGTTTTTCATATTAATGACAAATGGAGGATTGGTATGGTAAAATACTAATCCAATAGCAAGTATTATGTAAAATGTTTTCAGAACCTTTTGATAACTTACAAAAAAGAAGAGTTTAGAAGCATGCAGACTATTTGTCATCGCTGAGACAACTTACGGGACGACATATACATGTAGTACGACTGTAATATCCAATTATAAGTGTAATATTATCAGATCACCTCGATACTCTTAGAAAATCAAATGTGTTCACGAATGTAAACATTGTTGTAATTAGATGTATACCAGGGATAAGTATTCTTATTTATTTCATTGTTTAATATATGTAACGAAACTAAAGACTTGGTTTTAAAGTCACGTATGATTACTTACCTGTAAGACTGAGTAAAGGTGTTCGGGTGATAGGAGTAAGAACGTCTGCTATTCGATATTTCTGTACACGGCATTGAACCTCCTTTACTGACACAGTCGTTCGCCACGTTTCCGTCTAGATCGCCACAAAGACCGGAAATTCGTCCCTTGTACTCATGGACTGTTGGTGTTATATCGATATCTAGGAGGCCTCTCGTTCTAACTGACACCCGGATGGTCGCTCCAGTGGGTAAATATATCTGTTTAAAAAATGTTCAAAAAGAAAAATGGTACTTATATTTCTTTACAGATTATGGTATTATAATTTTACAAATTTTCAACTTTATCAAGGATCAGCTTTTGTAACGACCAAACAAATAGTACTTTTGCGAATAGTCTTCGTGTTGAACAATGTAACCACATTTTGCTTATGTCATGGGGACAATATACACGCATGCTTGAATGCAAACGACCGACACATATATTATCTATATCCAAATATTTATTTTTATTTTGCAATACTTGTACATGTTTTCATAATTTGAATGAATAAATGTTGTCGTAAACGATTTTTATTTGACATATTTCGTGTTGCACTTTATGTAATCAATGCTATTTATTTCAATTGATTACCAATTTGGTTTGGTTTGTTTGTCTTTTACGTCCCATTAACAGCTATGGTCATGTAAGGATGTGCAAGGTTTTGGTGGTGGAGGAAAGCCGGAGTCCCTGGAGAAAAGCCACCGACCTACGGCCAGTACCTGGCGACTGCCCCACGTGGGCCCCGAACCCGCGACCCAGTGGTGGAGGGTTAGTGGTAGCAGAATGTCAGACGCCTTAACCACTTGGCCACCGCGACCCCAATTGATTATCAAGCACAAGTAGCAATATATGTCCGGATGGATGACTTTATTTTGACATTTCCTTTTCACGCCACGACGTCATTGTTTATCCTTATCTTAACTTTATCCGCGAAAACAGTTCGGTGGTAAATATCACATAAGGATGCTGAACATAGAACTGATCATAAATATGACAAATTAACAAATTATGATCAAATTAAGAAGGAAACATACATCTGTGAAATATGTCAAAATCACCAGTTGCCCATTGTAAAAAGAACTGTTTTACAAGTTTTAAAATGAATGACCGATTTGGCAGCAAGTTGATTATGCTAAAAATTTACCTGCTTGACGTTAGGTTTATCCCTAAAAGTGTCATTGCGTCCACATTTTTATTTGTTGCAAAACCATTTTTGCTCTGCGTGTTTTAAATGTTCAATATTATTAAAATAAATTGCATCAAAGAAGAAAATTATTTAATATTAGCGTTTTATTTTACTTAAGCACACTGACCCCATTTTGGCGGTTTTATGAAAAGATATACATTTCGTTTGATAAATGAATTATAAAGAAAAGTTCAATTAAAAAAACGTATTTAGGTTGAATGACACACATTTCTGATAACACACTTGGAACACATTGTATAAGTTTGATCTGCATACGGTTAAAAAAGGAAATCATCAGTAACTCCATATTATGTTAAACTTGTAGCATAATCTATTAATAGCACACAGAGGAACACACTAACATTTAAATTTCTTTTTGCATTTACTAGTATGCATTAACTAGTTTTTCCAGACATAAATATAAAAAAAGTAAAAGCTTAATTCAGGAATTTCTAACTACTCAGAGGAATAAACCCTCGTATGACATTCGCTGTAAATTGGGGATTAAATAATGTATAACCAAACCGATCCCCACAAGTCTTATGCGTTGGTGTAAAGCGTTTGCATAAGTAAGGATTTTTAGTCCCCCCCCCCCCCCCCCCCCCCCCCACCAC